TATTGATCCGGTCGAAAGAGTAATAAGTGATGACTATTGCTGAATCTAAAACAGTCATCTTCAGTAGATTTGTTTACTTTTCCTCATATCAGAAAATTTGGGATTTCAGGGACAAAATAGACAAACTTCTCAAAAACCTAACGGAGAACAATAAAAATCTGGTCAAAAGAGCAGTAAGTGATGACTATGGCTAGAGCTCATCACAGTAAATTTGGGATTTTAAGGACAAACTAGACAAATTTCTCAAGAACTTGATAAAGCAAAAAAATAATATAAGGAGATTAAAAGCTCAAAAGAGCATAAAGTGGAACTATTACATCATCCTTAATACATTCGACCACTTCTCTTCATATAAGAAGTTACTAGATTTTGATATAAAAATTAGCCACTTCTCAACAACCTAATGAAGAATAATAATAATCTAAAGAGATAAAAAGCTCCTATAGCTTTCTAAGTCGATGATTGATCTCGCCAAAAGAGCAGTTAGAGATGACTTTGGGTAAATAAGAATCTAAGGAGATCAAGAACTTTCACAGCTTCCTGGTAAATGATTTGATCTTGTCAAAAGAGCAGTAAGTGATGACTATGGCTAAGTCTAAAACTATCATTCTGAGTAGATTCGTTTACTTTTCCTCATATCAGAAAATTTTAATTCCATTATGAAATTATACTAAAATATAAATAAATTTTTACAAATAGAATATACTTAAACTTCAGCTTAATAATATTAATTGGCAACAACTTATTTATTTAAAATTTAAAAGTATTTAGTAGTATAAAATGTAAATAAAATAATATTTAATAGTAAAAAATAAGAGCAATTAGTTATATATAAAATCTGGCAATGTTTTAACAATTTTCCTATAGATATATTGGTACTAGCAACTTTATATTTCAAATACTGAATCTGGAAAAGTTAAATTTACACAAACAAATTGATTCAATTAATTAATTCATTCATTTCTAAATTATTTTGCAACCTCTTCATCTTTTGATATATTTTTGAAGTGTGAACAAAAATACACTTTTGAAAATTTATTTAGTTTGTATCAATAAATGTTAATATGTAATGAAAAGCAAAGTTGTTTTTGATTTATTAATTCAGTTACCAAAAGATTTAAAAAAATTATTATATCAAATCATGAAAAACGTAATTTTTTAGAAAAAAACTATACAATGCCAATACAAAAGAATATTTTATAATAATGAACAAATTGTCACCAAAATATTTATTGAAGAACGTCAAAATTACTGAGCATAAAAAATAGTCGTATTACAAAATATGATATATTTTAATTTTCAATACAGTTAGAATTAAATTAATGCTAGATATATTCTTTGAAAAAAAAAATCACAATAAAATACAAATATACTGAGATGATATTTTTTTAAAAAACCTTGTTAAGAAATTTTTACGTTCATGAAAAGCAAAATTTTCATACAATCTCAATAATTTCCAATTAGAGAATGAAGTACTACAAGGCACTCATTAAATTGGCATTAAGTTTTATTTGCATATCAGAAGTTTTATTCAGATCTAATTTTCTACTTCGGCAGGAAGCTTAGTAGCAATTAAATATCCTTATTAAAAGTCCTTTAAAAGGATTACTGATTCTATAATACCCGATCTCAGAAATATACGCATTTGAATTGTAGAAAATCTTTGGAAATTAAAAATTTATTCCACTTCATTCCCTAATAAAATATTTTGAACGAAGATATCAACTTCTTACTTATAATGATTGATACAAAAAGTAGTGTTCTTATAAATAATTTTTTTCGATAATTATAAAATTAGATGAACACTATTCAATATTACATGCAAACACAAAAATATAAATTTGTATGTATAAACATTATTTTAACAGATCTGTTAACTAAATTGAATCAATTTAAAGTTGAAATATTGTAAAACAAAAATTTTAATGAACTATTTCAATCAAATAAATTATTCAAAAAAGTAATTCATACTAATTTTGAATCATGCAGCTTTTACGTCAACTGAATATTATTTCTATTTAATACAAGTATTGAATGTTTGATAATTTAATTTATTTAAATAATAATATATATCATATTAAATAATTTTAAAAAATATATTTAGTACATTGATTGTTATTCATAAAATTTTCAAGTAATAAAAAACGAGGAACAGATTTAAAAAAGTACGTTTGTAACAATTAATAAATAGATAAAAACATAACACTATATATATATATATATATATATATATATAGTAATAACACAATTCATAAAAATGAGTAGTCAATGTAGCATTACAATTATATTAACAATGTTTAAATTTTGTTAAAATATGTTAAATAAAGTATATAAAATTTTTATTAAATATTTGGTAACTCAAAAGCATTTCATCAACAAAAGTTTCATCAATTTTTTTACACTTTACACAATTTAATTCTAATTAATTATGATAATAAAATTTTGGAGATTTATATTTAGTTAGATGTACAGAACACATTTACATCAATAATTGTTTTAAAATATAATCAATTAAGTTTATGCATTATGTGACATATTATAATATGCAGCATAATATGCTATTTAATACAATATTGAATGCTGAATAATTTATTTAAATGATTTTTAGTAAATCTAATTATCATCATTTACCTGCAGGCACAACTTTGTATTTGACTGGTATTTTATTTAATTTTAAAAATTACCAAATGAACATCGTAATAGCTTAATTCAAGTAATGTCACGAAAAATTTCCTATATACTTTTGTACTATATGCATACAAAATAATTTTTATTCAAAGCCAATAAGTTGTTAAAAAAAATAAGAGCGATTAAAAACGCATTTTCTTTTTGTATTTAAAAACAAGAGCCATAATTTTTCTCAAAACCGCTTTTACCGTAGATGAATAATAAACTTATCAATTTTATTGTGAGAAAAATAGATCGCAGATTGAAAAATATCATCTTTTCTAAATTATTGATTTATTTAATCCTATCAATAGCTACGAAAATATAAAAACCTGGAATTTTAAATACTCTTTAAATCAATTGGTGAATGATAACTTCTCGATAATGATTTTAATTAATAAATTATGTACAAATAAATAATATATAATTATTTAAAAAAAAAGTGAAATTTCTTATTGATAAGAATATAATTAATTATGAATGTCAAAATTTAAAATAATTGATAATTATTGACTGATAATTATATTTAATTTTTTAAAATATACCATGGAAAATATCATATTTGCTAAATTTTTGAAAAAAATATAAAAATTTGGAATTTGAAATACACGCTAAGTCAATTGGAAGCAGTTTAAAATCTCGAAAACGATTTTAAATAATAAATTAACAAGAAATAAATAATATGTAATTGATTGATTAAAATAATGCATTGATAATTATATTAAGATTCAAAGAATAAATATTTGGAATTTGATATACGCGCTAAAATGATGAGGAAAAGTTAACTTCCCGAAAACAACTTCAAATAATAAATTAAGTACAAATAAATAATGTATAATTATTTATTTCAGAAAACGTGGAATTTTTTTAATTGGTGAAAATATAATAATTTATGAATGTCAAAATTCAAAATATCATGCAAAACATCATTTCTTCTAAGTTTTTGAACTTTGAACTTTTTAAAAACTTTTTTTTAATTAATAAATTTGATAGAAATGAATATAAAATGATATGAAATAGCTAAATTAATTATAGCTAAAAAATATAATCATTTGGAATTTAAAATATAAGCTAAACCAATTAGAAAAATTTAACTTTTTGAAAACGTTTTTAAATGATAAATTAAGTACAAATAAATAATATATGATTATTTCAAAAAAATGTGGAAGTTCTAATTGGTGAAAATATAATAATCTATGAATGTCAAAATTTAAAATAATGCACTGATAAATATATTGAATGAATTAAAATGTGTCATAAAAGTGCCATTTCTTCTAAATTTTTGAGTTCTTAAACTTGCAAAAAATTTTGTAGGTACAAAATATAAAAATTTGGAATTTGAAGTACACGTTAAATCAATTGTAAATAAATTAAGTAATAAATTAACTAGAAATAAATATAAAATGATTTGCAAAAAATGTGGAATTTCTAATTGATAATAATGATTTAAAATAAAATTTTATATAATTTGGAATGAATATAACATTTATTTATTAAACAAAAGTCCCTAAAAATCAATTTTATATGTTTGTATCAAATCATGTATGTTTTGTAATAAGAAACAAGAAATAAACTTAAAATGATTTTCAAAAATATTTTATGAATGTTGAAACTCGAATTAATGCACGGATAATTATATTAAATTACTTAAAATATATCATAGAAAGTATAGTTTTTGCTAAATTCAGTTCGATTTGCTGAAGAAATAAAAAAAGTGGAATTTAGAATATAAGTTAAATTTAGTGGAACACTATTTTAAATAATAAATTTAATAAAAATAAATAAATATATAATAATGTTAGGAAAACAGGGAATTTATAATTTAAAATGATTAATGAGATTGAATAATCCGGAATATGGATGAGAAAATTTTTTATGAAATATTTGATGATTAAATAATTCGTTATAAACTAAGTTAGATAAGTATAAGTGTATGTTCAATAATACAGAATATAAAATATTTTATATAAAAGAGTAAAAATATTAAACAAATTTATTTAAAAGTCATTAATAAATTGACATATATAACATATTTTATTTGTTTGTATGTAAAATTATACTAATGCACAATTTGAATTTCGCTCCGTTAACAATGCAACCGCGAAGGTACTCTTACTAACAATTGAAGGGCGTCACACCTGTTTTGCATTATTTATACCGACGCGACATCTCGATTTAATATTTGGTGATTGATTTATGAAGTCTAATCTAATATTTAATATTAGGAGTACTTTGTTCTATCAGTATGCGATCGTAAATTCACCGAAAATGTTCTTGTGTGTTAAGCCGGCAAATAGGAAGCATCGCGCGTGGTTTCCTACAAATTTGGCCTCGTGATTTAATTGTACGGTAATCCGTGAACATCCGTCTAATTAAATGTGGTAAAGTGAAAGTGATAGTGTAAATAGTTTTTATATAAAGTGTCTTTTTAGTGATGTACTTTAGTTTTGCAAAAAAATAGATTTTAAAAAATTTCAGAAGTCAACCTTGCTTTATGGTATATAATAATTTGCATGCACTATATGCTAATGTATATTCAAGTAATATTTTATATTGAATAATTTTAATTTGTTTCAGAATCAAATGTGCTGGTGATTATTTTATGATGCAGGTGTGCGCTCGAATTTTCTTCAAAAGGTAGGAAAAACATGTGATTTTTTCAAGCATTTTGTTAGGTTCCATACAGATTTTTATGCAATAATTCATAAAAAACATTTTTTTATGTCTTACCTTGTATTTGGTGATTATTCTTATTATTTTATTACATATATGAGTATACAAAATTATTTTATTACGTTGCGAAATGCATCGCCTCTCAATGATTCTTCACAGGCACAGGTGTGACTCATCATTGCAAATATTAAAATACGAACGGTGAATGATTCAGCATAAAAATTATAACATATGTAATATAACTCCGTGCTACGCAAATTTTAATTTTACTAATAAAATATAATAATCAGTGCGGGCCAACAGTTGGGTTACCTTACCAAAAGCGTCGTTACCGTGAGATTGATAAAACAATTCAGCTAATTACTGAATAAAAACACGAATTACTTAAAATGCATTCATAGTATAAAAGTGCAACGTTTTTACACATTCAAACAAATATATAATTTCATTCACTTGCATTTAATTGTTGAAATTATATGGGATACATGATATTTGAACATATGCGTCACACATTATTTTATGTGCTTTTGATTTCCATATAAATTACAATCTATCGATAGGTAAACCATCAGTAATTTGTTTGTTACAGTTGATACAAAAAACGCATGCCCAATGGTCCATACCAATTTATTTGTTTTCTTAGCACAAGATACTAAAAATTGCACATGCATTCTCAATGACATGTACACTTATATATATATATACAAGGATATATTTAAATTTAGTATTTACATAGTTTACATATTACATTTAGTAATATGCCATTTTTACGTTATTCAACATATATTTATAAACTGTGCTTTATGGTTTATGTAGAGTTTTAGTATTAATTATATTGAATTAATTTAAATAAAATTGAAGTATGAGACAGAATTACAACAAAATTACCTGCACGTAGAGTTGATACCACCAATAACTGGCAAATTCCAAATAGCATTTAACTGGCTTATGAATTATTTCCTGGTCCGTTGGCTGTACTAATCGGTGCAGAATTATTTTTCAAAATCATCCAATAGGGATCCTGGAAATTGGGATAGAATCTCTTAAAATTAGTTCTAGACAATGACCAGAATCCCCTGTATTGTGACTGCCAACAAAAGAAAATTATTTATTTAGAAGAAAACATCTTTTCCATCACCTCCTCTTACATTTACGAAAAAAACAAATATACATTGACCAATCAAAGACTTTAAAACTCGCCTTCAATATTTTTCAACAATCTACGGTATTGTGACTGCCAACAAAAGAAAATTATTTAGAAGAAAACATCTTTTCAATCACCTCCTCTTACATTTACGAGAAATACAAATATACATTGACCAATTAAAGACTTTAAAACTCGCATTCAATATTTTTTATGGATTTTTTATGATACGTTTCATCAGCATATTGCAAAAGAAATGTACAAATGTAGTGTTCCAAAATAATCCTTTATTACAACTGCAGAATTGAATTCAAATGAATTCAATTAATACAAAAAAAATCGGAGCAATATCATCTACAACTAAAAATTGCATGCAGACGACAAATCGTCGTCAACATGTGACAATGCCGAAGAATGATGCAGATAGTCAAAATTAATAAAATGCGAAGTATGAATTTGTTGAAATCCAAAAAACCTAATATTTATATGAAGTTATTAGTCTAATGATGTACCAAATTTACTGTGAAAAACAATTCTCACTAAACACTATAGCTGAGTGTGAATGCTTAAAAGGTTGCAGGTTCTCCAGAACTACCATATGACAAGGAGGATGATGAGAAAAGATTTGAAATATAAAAAATGAAGCAAATTCATGACATAAATTGTAATACAAAACACAGAAAGAAATCTTAACCAAAGACCAGCTTGCAGAGCAATAGTTGGCTAGCTTCTTAAAAACCGACAAAAAATTTATGACCAGATCCAACATATGACTAGGAGGTTGATGCTAAAAGATTTGAAACATAAAAAATGAGGCAAATTTATGACAAATTCTAATACAAAACACAGAAAGATATCTTAACCAAAGAGCAGCTTGCAGAGCAACAGTTGGCCAGCTTCTTAAAAACAACAAACAATTTATGACCAGATGATGCATTTTCAATTGCATTGATTTTCAAAAAAAGTGAATTATGAAGAAATTTTGTATATAATGAAACGTAAAGCATGCAATAGACAGGTTGGCACGAGGGTGGATTAAGTATACAAGAAGCCCTGAATCCAAAACAGAGAAGAAAATGGAAAAACAAGAGCATTTTGCGGAGCAACAGTTAAAAATTAACTAAAATTATGACCAGATGATGCACTTTCAATTTTGGCCAACAAAAGACGAGAGTGGATAAAAATTACTAGTCTTGTATCCAGAAATGAAGATAATGTAAACACAAGAGCAGCTCACAGAGTTAGAATTTCAATATAACACAACAATTATGACCAGGTGATGCCCTTTTAATCCTGGTCTACAGAAAGAGTGAACGTGAAGAAATTATATGTATTGCGGGGATCAAGCAGGCTAGTCATGAGAGAGAAAATAATTGGACTTGTCATATTTTCATAGCATTAATTTTTATAGTCAATAAATTTTATATATTGGAGTTTATACTTCCATATTCATTACTACTCCCACATTGGTGACCCACGACGATTGAGATGAAGACAAGGAAGGAGTTTTATTTTTCGAGGATTTAAGAAATATAGATTTTGATGCAGCACCATAATCACTGGTCTTCGGTGACTACTTATAAGGTACGTCCATGAAAATTACAAGCTTTGTGTCCAAAACAGAAAAAAAAATGTAAACTTAAAAATAGCTTGCAAAGCACTAGTTGGATTTTTCTAAAAACCACAAAAATATGACCAGGTCATGCGCTTTTAATCCTGATCTACAGAAATAGTGAACTATGAAGAAATTATATATGTATGATAAAGCAGGACCTCTATAATGGAGTTGGCACGAGAGTGCATAAAAATTACACGCCATGTGTCCAAAACAGAAAGGAAAATGTAAACTTAAAAGTAGCTTGCAAAGCACTAGTTGGATTTTTCTAAAAAAACACAAAAAATGTGATCAAATGATGCACTTTGAATTCTGTCTACAAGAAAGGTAGAAACAGTTGAACAGATCCTTAATTCGGCAAAAACAGGACGACCATAACAAGTATTAGCACGTAATTTATCCACTTTGATGTAGGATTCAGTAACATTCATTTATTAGAAACACAATATATTTATTAATCCCAATTAATCTCTTTGTACTGTGACGCACTCATTGAACTTTGCGCAAAGTTTTGTGGCATCAGAATCGAAGTAAAATGTTGTTTTTGAGGTAAGAAAAAATATACAACTAAAACTTATGCATAGGCATGCTTCTCTCTGAATAGATTTTAAAAATCTCAAAATAGAAAATATGTTGTAATCAAAAATTACAATTTGAAAAGCCTAATGGGTGACGATTTATAATACGTATAGAGAGTACTCTCGTCAAGTAAATTCGTTAATAACAGTTAATTGTTTAAGTATGATAATCGAATTATAGAAAACAGTAGCTAAAAAAAATAAACTTACTAAAAAAAGTATAAAATTGTATTAAAATATATTAGTAATAAAAGTATTCTTGTAATCATCGAAAAATCGGAATTGAAAATAATTTTTACATTTCTTCAAGTTTGAAGGTTCCTGAACATTTTGGCATACCTAAGAAAAAATGGATGTGTGTGTATGAATACAATTTTTCGTCGACGTTTTCGGGCACACTAATCAACCGATTTGAATGGTTCAAAAAACATTCGATTCCTATTGATAGGGAGATGTGCTGATTAGTTTTAGGCAAAGGCAGGTCCAGCCGTTTCGGAGATATGGAGCAAAGGGTGCAGAAAATAGAAATCGAGCTTTTGAGGGAATGGACCATATTTGATTTGAATGAAGTAAAAATATTCTGCTTGGTTTTGTTACGTTACGAAAATGTTACGCTTGACAAAATAATTGCAAACAAAATAATTAAAGAAAATATTTAAAATTTATTTCCCGATTTTTTTTCCGAATTTTTTCTTACAAAAAAAATTACATTAATTCTGACTAAAGTTCTAAAAATACTTTAAATAATTAATTTTGACTTTTTAATTCAGTTTCTATTACTTTTATAAATAATAGCGATTGATAACACTTCTTTTTGTATTTAAAAACAAGAGTTATAATTTCATCAAAAACGCTTTTACCGTATGAATTAATTAAAAATAATTAACTTTATAATAAATGAAAATAATTTAGATTTTAATATTAATTTTGACTAAAGTCCTAAAAATACTTTGAATAATGAATTTTAAATTTGTAATTCAGTTTATATTACTTTGATAAATATTAGAGAATGTTACATAATTTATAATAATCTATATGAAAACATTTGATAATTCTCGAACATTTTGTTACGGTACGGGAAGTTTCAGCAATTTGCCTTATGGCACGATGCCATACACAGCTAATTCAGTTTTCTCTACTGCCTCGACCAACTTTTGTTGCCATGAGATAATAAATAGTATAACTTAATAGAATCTGCAGGATATATAATAACCTGCAGAATAATAATTTATTATATATGATAATAAATATTATCCTAGATCTGAATATATCTTAATTAATAAAAAAAATACTTTTGATACATTAGAATTGTTTACGGTCCAAAATGGGATCAAGCAAGAAGAATGAAGTTCATTATACATACAGCAATTAAAAAGTGGTGATCACTAGGGTTTATACAAAAACCGACATTTCAGAAAGCCAGTTTTCAAATTTTATATAAAAAATTAATTTTCGCTCGAATATTCTGTAATTTATCCGCAAATTTAGTGTAATTTAGAGCAGTATTTGACTGAATTTATTTATTGTTCAATTTTATAGATAGTAAACAAAATTATTTTAATTTTAATTAGTAGAACTGAAAAATAATAGTTTATCTTGATTAAATAACTTTGAAAATAATTATTCGTTATTCGTTATTCATGCATCATTCATACATATAGAAATGAAAATATTTTTATGATAGTGAAAGGAAAATTTTAATTAATTAAATTTAAACATTCTAATTGTTTTTTTGTTAAATAAAATACGATTTCAAAAAACTGAGGACATCTATCGAATTGGTACTTAAGACGTGACCTTTGTTTACTCACAAAATTTCCTGAAATAGAAAATACACTCATACTTGCGACCAAATTATGCTTAATTGTTTTTAAAGCCTGATATAATAATTCTAAGTCTTTTGTTCTTCTAGGGTTTAAAACTCTCTTTTTAAGTTTGAGTAGAGGAAGTTACTTCAACAAGAAGTCACACTGATTCAAATTAATATTTACAGTGGTATAAAAATCTAAGTTAATATATACAAAACCTTGTTGGGAACCATTGCAGACTGATAAGATATCAAATGCTATTGAACCGATATGATTTCAATAATCAAAACGCTTTCATCTATCTTTTATATTTGGCTATATTTGTCATTTTCCATGAATACAGTGAAAGCCGACTTTTTCACTAAAAAACCGGTTTTCGAATTCCATAATTTTTGCCAAAAAACGGTTTTTAAAACCGGTTTTTGAAAACGGACAAACCCTAGTGATCACCACTATGTATCATAAAATTTGCTTTTTTGCGCAAAATTTTCGCTATTTTCGTGTGTCAATAAATTACATCAAACAACTATCATTTCTCATTGAGAGGGACTTATAATCGAGTCTTGTCTCATCAATCGAATGCCAATAGAACACGAGGCATCATTTGACACACGCAACGTCAAATAATCCGATCTATTGAGGGTGGTTCCTGGGATTAATGGGATTATCGAACGTATGCAATACATGCATAATCTTTAGGAGATGATGGATCCACCCCTTAAATCCTGGAACATATGCACGTGAATGCAATCAATTTTCGAAAGGCAACTTACTGGAATGTTAATATTCTGGATCATGGCATTATCGTATCGAATTAATGATAAGCGTAAAGTGTTTTTTTGATCAATCTGTTTATTGGATCTAATCATATTATAGGATTATTTTATTGTTTGCATTAAATATTTGCTATTTGAGTATTAATTTTATAATAAAGATAACTATGAACTTAAGCTGTTGCGTTACCTGGACTTCGAAATAAAAGGACATGGTGACAGTCTTATCTAAAAATAATTGTCGTACAATCTTATAGCTTTTAAAATATTCAATGTACCTTAAAATTGGTTCAAAAGCTTTTGGCAGATGAAAATAGTGATAAAAAGTGTTTTAGATATCAAGAAAGTTGGTGACAGTTTTTGGAGAAGCAAAAGGTTTTTGGATAATTTGAAATTTTCACGACCCTTTTTGGAAAGTTAAAAATACTGCTAAAAATCTGCTTAAGAGGCCCGGCGCAATTTCATTATTAAAGTTGCAATGAACACTCTATTTACTTAGAAGTATCAAGAGAAACACCCAGGACTTTATTATTAAATAGGTTATATATCAGACCTTCAAAAGAACTGATCTAAAAATGAGTAGTTTCGTGGATAACTTTTATGTTGATGGTTTAACAATTACGTATTTAGTAGAATTGATCGCTTAAAACTATTTAAGCACGTAAAATTGTAAAATTGTGTTATTGAGTTAGAAAAGGTGAAATATATAATATTCGTGAAGCAGACTTTGAAATAAAAGGACATTAGTTTAATTATTTACATATATATATATATTGTTGCTATTTTTCTTCGAAGCTGATATCGTGACATCGGCTTATCTAAAAATAATTGTCAAATCTTATAAAGTCTTGTTTAAAATATTCAATGTACCCTTAATATTAGTTCAAAAGCTTTTGGCAGATGAAAATAATGATAAAAAGTTTTTCAGATATCAAGAAAATTGGCGACAGTTTTCGGAGAATCAAAAGGATTTTGGAAGATTTTTCGACTATTTTTAGAAAGTTAAAAATACGGCTAAAGGTCTGCTAAAGAGGCTCGGCGCAATGTTTATTATAAAACTTGCACTAAAAACTAATTACTTCGAAGGACCAGAAGGACCCCAAGGACTTCATTACAAAAAAAAAACGGATTTAAAGAATTACGAAATTAAGGACTTCATTGCAAATTGTAAAATTGTGTTATTGAAGCTAGGTAGAAAATGTGAAATATATATTTGTAAAGCAGATACAAACATCTGCAATGTTAGTCCAAAGGTTTATTTGCATCTTTCCCAAGACAAAGTTACATTTACAATATTCAATGTACCTTAAAATTGGTTCAAAAGCTTTTGGCAGATAAAAATAGTGATAAAAAGTTTTTTAGATATCAAGAAAGTTGGCGACAGTTTTCGGAGAGTCAAAAGGATTTTGGAAGATTTCTCGACTATTTTTAGGAAGTTAAAAATACGGCTAAAGGTCTGCTAAAGAGGCTCGGCGCAATGTTTATTATAAAACTTGCACTAAAAACTAATTACTTCGATGAACCAGAAGGACCCCAAGGACTTCATTACAAAAAAAATACGGATTTAAAGAATTACGAAATTAAGGACTTCATTGCAAATTGTAAAATTGTGTTATTGAAACTAGGTAGAAAATGTGAAATATATATTTGTAAAGCAGATACAAACATCTGCAATGTTAGTCCAAAGGTTTATTTGCATCTTTCCCAAGACGAAGTTACATTTACAATATTCAATGTGCCTTAAAATTACTTCAAAAGCTTTTGGCAGATGAAAATAGTGATAAAAAGTTTTTAGATATCAAGAAAGTTGGCGACAGTTTTCGGAGAAGCAAAAGGATTTTGGATAATTTGAAGTTTTCTCGACCCTTTTTGGGAAGTTAAAAATACGGTTAAAGGTCTGCTAAAGAGGCCCGGCGCTATGTTTATTATAAAACTTAGCACTAAATACTAATTACTTCGAAGGACCAGAAGGACCCCTAGGACATTACATAATATGCTATATATCAGATCTTCAAAAGAACTGATCTAAAAATAAGTAGTTTCATAGACAACTTTTATGTTGACGGTTCAACAGATACGTATAAATTGATAAGAGTTGATTGCTTTAAACTATTTAAGCACATAAAATTGTAAAATTGTAAAATTGTTTTATTGAAAGCTTGGTAAAAAATGTGAAATATATATTGTGACATCTGCGTCGAAAGTTTATTTGCATATTTCTCAAGGCAAAATTATATTTACACCTCCGTCCTAATAATTCTTTTAAACATTTAAATATTACACTTGAGTTCCATAGAGAAATTCTGGTGCAGAACGCCAAAGTTCGACTCGCACTTTTATTAAAATTTTTATTTAAACTTTTATTATAATTAATCAATCTATTATTGATTTAAAACAAGAATCAGTTGTTCGACAATCAATTTACGCATTTTTTAAACAAAGAAAATGTTAAAATGATATTTAAATATTAAAAATAGGTCACCATTACAATAAAATTCGTGGTATTCCGTGAATTATAAATAAAGGAAATACTAATAAAAATATTACTTCCATTTAATTAAGGCAAATATATTTAAATATATTTTGTTGAAAAATGTGCTTGTTTGAGAAATGTATTGAGAGAGCTCAAGGCAACATATTCCAAGTTAAAATTACATTTAAACTTGAATCACAATTAAATATAGGTGCAGAGATTGTAAAAATGTTAGAATTAAATCTTAAAAAAAAATCAATGCACTAATTTAAATAATTATTAAAAATATTAAAAATAATTCAAGATGCTATTCATTTTTTTAAGAGAAGAAAAGCTCCTGAGGAAACACAGACTTTGGCTTCGAAAATGAAGAGATACATGAGAAAAGTGATTTTCCATAGAATGCAACGAAACAACGAGTTATTACAATTTTTTCCGGTAAAAAAACGTAGAAACAATTGAAGTCAACAGAAGCAACATGAAAATTTACATTTAAAAGTTTCTAAGTTTATAAAATTTATTTCGGCACGCATCACACAATTTTGTGTGCAGAGAATGCAAAAATATAAGTAAAATTTGAAATATTAGTAAATTTATTTGATTTATTACCATAAAGTAGTAGAGAGAGAGAGAGAATACAGAGTAAATATGCATAAATAAATATTAGAAGTAGATCTTGAATCAAATAAATATCAAAAATAATTCAAAATGCTTTAAATATTAGAAGTAAATCTTGAATCAAATATCAAAAATAATTCAAAATGCTTTCCATTTTCCGAACCCGAAAAAAGCTTTAAAGAATCAATGAATTTTGGCTTAGTGTGAAAGGATACATGATATGAGTGATGTTCTATAGAATATATCGAAATGAACATTTGAAAAGTTGGACTGTTATAAGATATTGAGGTAATTGAAAAAAGAGATCTAAAAATTTATATTTATTTTCTAAAGTTTTTAAATTTTATTCCAACATACATCACTATTATATGTGCAGAGAACGCAAAAATAAGTTAGAAGTTGATTTTGTGAAAAATTAGTAAATTTATTTTTTTTACCAGGGAGTAGCAAAATGAACAAAGGATAACAAATGTTTCCAAAAATTAGAGATATATCAAAGCACTTTTTTGAGTTTTCACTATCATTTCCACATCAGAAAAAAATTAGGTAACTTTCCTATTAATAAGACAAAATGCCACTTACCATCTCTTCCATCATATGAAAAGTTTATAGTACCATAATTTTCAGTGGTATAAAAATTTGCACAAAATGTATATATTAAAAATGTATTAAAATTTTTACCAAACCAATCCCTTCTTGAATTAAAATACAACTTAGTCGAGTAATTGAAATTAAATTAGGCATTTAAAATCAAATTTAAATTTTTCAAATGAATTCAAGATGCTATTTTTATTTTTCGAATAAAAGAAGTAATGTAACTCTCAAAACCATAACTTGGAGTATGCAATAAATATGATTTTTCATGAAATGCACAAAAACGGAGATTTCTTATTTGGAAAGAATTTTATTAATTGGAAACGTGGATAATACTGGGAAAAAGAAGTGAATAGAAGGACTAAACAAATATATTTATAATATCACAATTTTATCATTTTTATTCAAACATCAACTATTGTGTGCAAGGAACACAAAAATGTTATAAGTAAACTTTTGAAAATTAGTAAATTTATTTGATATTTATCACACCAAGCAGTAGCAGAAAAAAGATAGAGGGTAAAACAAATGTTTTCGAAAACTATAGATAAAAATATTTGAAACACTTTTGATCAAAAAGTCCAAATAACTTTTGTATAATAAGGCAAAATGCTAAAAAGTTCATAGTAACATCAGTTCCATTGAAGCCGCAAATAAAATTCAACTTCCAATTTGTATTAAAATTTGTATTATAGTTTATTCTTTTCTTAATTAAAACATAATTAATTTGTTTGGCAATTAAAATTAAATTAGGCATTTACTAACGAACAAGACACAAAAAATCATATAAAGGATGGCGTCTACTGTTTGAAAAATCGAAGAATTAATGTTTCCATACATGGTAATGGCAGTATGCAATTAAAATTTTACTTTAATTAGATTTAATGCAATATATTTAATATAAGGTGCAATATATTTAATTAATTATAAAATTTACTTCAATTAGATTCAATGCAATATATTTAATATGAGATGCAATATATTTAATATAAGGGCTCTAAAACGTAAAGGAATTCCTTGAAATATTATTTTTGCTTCAAAAAATGTAAAAAATAGACATAATTATTTCTAGTAATATATATCTACAATTGTCTCGGAATGAAAATTTTATTTACACAAAAAGTGAATTTTGACAAAAATATAAATCTTATTTACTTCCTTAGCCACAGATCAGTTGGAACGTCCGAATAAGAGTTCAATTTGTAAAATGCCGTTATAAAAATGCAAAATATGAAATAGTAATTATTGTCACTAAAATTGTTTTTGGTAGAGAATAAATGAATGCATAACTTAAAAGGTTATTGGTTCCGGTATAGCAAAATAAATATAATTTCATCTAAAAATACTTATAAATTTGTTGGCATATTAATATCATTCAAACATGAATCACAATTTTAAAAACGAAAAAATATATTTATTTTTTCCCCTGAAGAGAACTGGTCTCAAAATGAAATCAGTAACATACCATTTAAAAATGCAATTTAGCAAAAAACCATTATAAAAATGCATAATGTTAAATACTAAGCAATTATCGATAAAAAAATTAAATTGTTTTTAGTAGAAAATCTTATCTGTTATCGTTTGGAAACTTTGGATTAGAACTAATATTTTAGTAAAAATATGAGGAAGAACTTACTATTTGATAGACAACTTTTATCATAATTTTTGGTATGAAAATACTGGTTGAATACGTGTAACACTAAGTAAAAAAGAATTTTAAAATACCATTGTTAAATTTACCCAAACGATTTTCGATCCGCAAAGATTAACTTTTATGTATATTTTTAAATTTTTATATAATTGATGCCATCAACCTTTATAACATTGTTTTCTTTGGAGACGCAATTTCCATATAAGGTATAACTGAAATTTCGACAGCCCTCTTATAACGCGCGATTTTGTATAGCAACTCATACATTTTTCCGCGTAGTCCATGAAAATAACTTCAATAACTAGATATTGAGAAGGTTTTAATATAAATCGACTATAATATCATCTTTTATAAATACCCCAATTATTTTTAGAAAAAATATATAATGGCATAAAAAGTAGTCGCTTTTATGTCAAAATCTCTTAAATCACGATTTATTTTGTTTTCGTTCTAGTAGATAAGCATATAAAGGTCGTCGCCCAAATAGAAGCACTTATATAATATTTATAAAATATGACGATAAAATTTATAGTATTTAAAATAATTTTAAAATATTTAAAACTGCTTTAATTACTGAAAGTATGGACATTTATAATGAACTACTTCCAGCTGTATAAAAAATATATTAAAAAATATTGTTTGCAAAAATATAAAAATGTTATAACATAGATTTGTATCTTCTGTCCTCAGGGATGAATTGATTGCTACTATATATATATATATATATATATATAATAAATATTTATTGA